CCTGAAGGTCCCCTAGGGATTCCAAAGGATTCCCTAGGACGCCCTAGGGATTCCCTAGGAATTCCGAAGGATTCCCGAGGGATTCTTTAGGATGCCTAAGGATTCCCCGCGGTGCGGTGCGCTGCGGTGCACGCGGTGCGGTACGCCCAGTACGGTGCGCACGGTGCGGTACGCCCCCCCCTCCCCCAGGGGGGCCTCTGAAACACGGCGTCGTCAACAACAACAGCAACAACAGCAGCAGCAACAACAACAATAATTTTAAGACTGTTCGCCGTTATATGCTCGAGTGTTCAATAACGCGTATTTCCCAAACCCTCGATACCCGCCCTCTTCGTCTTCGATCGAGCCCCTTTTGGGGGGTATACCATTCTTCCCTGCAGGCCGGGCCCCGGCAAGCGGCGGGGCGGCCGCGGACCGTCGGCCTGGCCAGCGGCAGCGCTGATCGGCGGGGCGGCCGCGGACCGTCGACCGGACCCCAAGAGGGACGGACAGGGGACCGACCACGACGACGACGACGACGACGACGACGACGACGACGGCGACGACGAGCGAAAGCGAGAGCGAGAGAGAACAACAGCAGGGCCACGAAGGGCACGAAGTAGACCACGAAGGGCGACAGCGGGGACACGAACGGAAAGCGTATGGGGCCACGAAGAGCGCGAACGAGCGGGGGCCACGAAGGGCAGATAATGCGGGGCCACAGAAGGCAACGATGGGGCCACTGAGGGTAGCAACTGGGCCACGTAGGACAGTGAGGGGGACACAAATGGCGACAGCGGGGCCACGAAGGGCATGCACATGGGGCCACAACGAGCGCGACTCCTGGGTGCCTGGGTGTCGGGAGCGCGGCGCTTGGGCAAATTGCGAGAAATCCCAAAGCAAGGCCATTCTTCAGTAAGTTGCGAGCAAATCTCCAGCGAGAGCGCGACTCCAGAACGCCGGGAAAGCGATTCCTGAATAAATTATAAGAAAGTCCAAAGCGAGAGCGCGATTCATGAATAAAATGCGAGGAAGTCTCGGGCGGGAGCGGGGGTCCTGGCTAAATTGTGAGGAAGTCTCAAGCGGGAGCCGTTGTTGTTGTAACCCGGGGGCCAGGGGCACAGTTTGAACAGGAAGATTTTCCAGGGCGACGGCACGCCGGGGCGCTATCCGATTCCAGCCGATCAGCCGATCAGCCGATCAGCCGATCAGCCGAACAGCCGATCAGCCGATAAGCGACCGAGCAGCCGAGCAGCCGATCAGCCGATCAGCCGATCGGCCACAATGAGACTTTCCCAATCAAAAAACAGGGTGCGAGCGTCGAGGGGCACACTTTGATTGAGAAAAACAATATGCACCGGTGGGGGGATCAATAATAATCATGTTTCAGAAACGAAAATTCAACAACAACAACAACAACAACAACAACAACAACCATTTTAAGACTGCTCGCCCTTATGTGCTCGAGTGTCCAATAACGCGTATTTCCCAAACCCTCGATACCCGCCCTCTTCGTCTTCGATCGAACCCCTTTTGGGGGGTATACCATTCTTCCCTGCAGGCCGGGCCCCGGCAAGCGGCGGGGCGGCCGCGGACCGTCGGCCTGGCCAGCGGCAGCGCTGATCGGCGGGGCGGCCGCGGACCGTCGACCCGACCCCAAGAGGGACGGACAGGGGACCAACCACGACAACGACGACGACGACGACGTCGAAGACGACGACGACGACGACGACAACGTCAAAGACGACGGCGACGACGTCGACGACGAGCGAAAGCGAGAGCGAGAGAGAACGACAGCAAGGCCACGAAGGGCACGAAGTAGACCACGAAGGGCGACAGCGGGGACACGAAGGGAAAGCGTATGGGGCCACGAAGAGTGCGAACGAGCGGGGGCCACGAAGTGCAGATAATGCGGGGCCACAGAAGGCAACTATGGGGCCACTGAGGGTAGCAACTGGGCCACGTAGGACAATGAGGGGGACACAGATGGCGACAGCGGGGCCACGAAGGGCATGCACATGGGGCTACAACGGGCGCGACTCCTGGGTGCCTGGGTGTCGGGAGCGCGGCACCTGGGCAAATTGCAAGTAATTCCAACGCCAGGCTATTCTCCAGTAAGTTGCAAGCAAGTCTCCATCGAGAGCGCGACTCCAGAGCTCCCGGAGAGCCATTCCAGAATAAATTGTAAGGAAGTCCCAAGCAAGAGCGCGATTCATGAGTAAAATGCGAGGAAGTCTCGGGCGGGAGCGGGGGTCCTGCCTAAATTGTGAGGAAGTCTCAAGCGGGAGCCGTTGTTGTTGTAACCCGGGGGCGGGGGCCCAGTTTGAGCAGGAAGACTTTCCCTGTCAAAAAACAGGGTGCGAGCGTCGAGGGGTACACTTTGATTGAGGAAAAACAGTATGCACCGGTGGGGGGATCAACAATAATTGTTTTCAGAAATGAGAATTCAACAACAACAACAACAACAACAACAACAACAACAACAACAACAATCGTCATCATCATCATCATCATCATCATCATCATCATCATCATCATCATCATCATCATCATCATCATCATCATCATATTAAGACTGTTCGCTCCTATCTGCCCACGTGCCATCCAACACGTATCCCAGACCCTCGGTACCCGCCCTCTTCGTTCCGATCGTACCCCCCTTGGGGGTATATCTTGTGTACCTGCCGCGCGTAATTGGCGCAGCCCCTGACACAGGGGAAGAGAGGACGGATGGAAGGGGGAGGGAGAAGGATGGAGCACGGGATTAGCATGAGGGGGGCTGGGAGAAAGCAAGTGGCAGAACCAGACGGGCCCATCGGGCGGGTTTGACCTAACCGGCGGGTTGGGAAGGCGATCCCAAGCGGCCAGGTCGAGCAGGCGGGTTGCTGAAGCGTGAGTACCGCACGAATCGCAGAGAAATCTCGAGTGAGAGCGCGATTCCCAAGTAAACCTTGAGAAAGGCAAACACGAGAATGTGATTCCTGAGTGTCGAAGGCGCGGCGCCTGAATAAACTACAAGTGAGGCCCACGCGAGAACGGGATCGACAGCAGCAGCAACAACAACAACAAACACAACAACAACAACAACAACAACAACAACAACAAGAACAACAACCACAACAACCACAACAACAACAATAACACCAACAACCACAACAACAACAATCACAACATCAACCACAACAACGACAACAACAACAAAAACAAAAACAACAGTGACACGTTCAACAACAGCAGCAGCGAAAGCAACAACAACCCCATACTCGCACGAATATGGCGCCGCCAGTCGGCTTGATTCTTGGCATCCTAAGCATGACCTCAGAGCAATGTGGGACAGCAACAGCCAAAACAACGGCATCAACGACGAAGACGGCGTAGGTTCATTGCGCCTTGACTGAAGTGCTTGACCACCCCGGTCTACATGCGAGGTTTAGCGATGGAGCGCAACCTGGCAACGAAGAAACATACCCGAATCTTCCACATCATTTGTACAGGTCGGCCCCCCAAGAGGCCCGATCTCACGGTCGAGATGGGGCTTCGGATCTTCTGCCCGTGCAGCATCGCGGCTGAGATCAAGAAGTCCTTCCCGCCCACTCTTCCCAGTCCTACTGCCTTCTCGTGGGGGGCAACGATAGGGGGGGACTGGCACAGGGTGGTATGCATTGACCTGGAAAAAACGATACATCGCCGATAGATCGGCGATAGGCCCCCGACAGTGAGTCCGCACCTTCCTGGGCAGGTTAGGGCTATCGGGACCCTATCGGCGATCAATGGGCGATTGGGGGTCGATGTATCCCCCCCTGTGCCTATCCCCCCCTATCGTTGCCCCTGATCTCGTCCTCGCCCTCCCCTGCTCCCTCGCCTCCTCCCACCCCCCCTGCTCCTCGACAGCGACGGCGCGACCGAGGCCTCCGACGACACGCTTTGCTCGAGCCACTGGCCGCTGAAAGCTCGACCAATGCCTGGGACCACTTCTTCATTCGGCGGCGAGGAGGAGGAGGAGGAAGAGGAGGAGGGGGACGAGGAGGAGAAGGAGGAGGAGGACGAGGAGGAGGAGGAGGAGGAGGAAGAGAAGGAGGAAGAGGAGGAGGAGGAGGAAGAGAAGGAGGAGGAAGGGGCGCACGGTGAAATTGATGTAAGGATCCGTGGATCTGACACGCAGGCCCCAGATCCACGGATCGGGGAAGGTGCCCCCCGAAAAATGAAACCAGTGCCGCCCGATTCGATGACAGCGCGCGCCGATGTGGCACGGAGGCGGGACCCCGTCGCCGATGCACGCGCC